GAAATAGAGTTGGGGGACATTAGCAGGACTTGAAGGCCAGAGCTCCCTATAACAAACTCACAAACAGGAGGAGGTGTGTTTTCTGGGCCAAAGAAAGAAATCAGAGAATGAAGAGAAAAGAGACAAATATGACTCAAATCTATCTCAGTAAAGAGGAAGTAATACTAAATACTATTGAGTATTGGAGCCCCTTGTAAATGTTATATTTTCATTCTTAGGAACTGTGACTCAATACACGGGAAACAAGCAATACTGAACACAACTTTTGAAATAGTTCTTCATGATTCACTGTGTGACACTGTTCAAGGAAATTGTTTAGACAGTTTTTTTAGACATTTAATCAGTGAAGAATTAAAAAAATTTAAACCAGCAAGCAATAGAATTTTACAGATTTGGTGGGTGATTCTTTTGTTAGTTTTGTTTTGTTTTAGGTTTTTGCCCTAGGTTACATGTGTTTTCAGGAGAGAGACAGAGGGAAAGTGAGAAATCATCCCCCCGGGGGGATGGCCACACCACAATCCCTTTTCCTCCATTCTCCTCTCAGGATTTAGGGCATGCATGCACATGTGCTTGGTGTAACTTTCAAGCCGCTGGGTTTGGGACTCAAACTGTGGTCAGCCATGTGGAAGTTCAACACCTTAACCACCACACCACTTGCTGGCTCCTTGGTGGCATATTTTTAAGCAGTCATAAAAGAAAAAGACTTATGAATTCATATATTGATTAGTGAACAGAAACAAAGTGAATAATAAAAGGGGGAAATAGATAAATCAAGCATAATTTTAAAATATTAGTGTTCATCATGTATAAACAAACTTATTGGGACCAGCAGGTGGTGTGGTGGTTAAGGTGCTAGACACTCCCACATGGCCGACCACAGTTCGAGACCTGGACCTGGTTTTTCTCGCTCTCTCTCTGGACAGATTAAAAAAATAAGTGCATGAATAAATAAAATTAAATAAATAATTATTAAAAAAACCCCAACAAACTTATCTTAATTCTTTAAAAAATATATTTTATCTAACTTTATTTATTCATTTATTTTTTAATTTGACCAGATGGGGATAGAGCGAGAGTGAGAGCAAAAGAGAGAGAGAGGGAGGGAAAGTGAGAAAGCAAGCTGCCAGGTCCAGGACTCAAACCACAGTTGACCATGTGGGAGTCCAGTGCTTTTAACCACCAAACCACTTGCTGGCCCTAAACTTATACTTCTTAAAAAATTTTTATAGAAATAGAAATGACTCAAACAAAATTTACAGAAAATGCCTATAAATAAGCACATTAAAGATGTACTTTTCCATTGACAACAAAAATGTAAAATAAAGAGACTTTGAGCCTGTAATTTGATCTTTATGAAATTTAAGAAAAAACTACTGGGGGAAAATACAATAAACTGCTGCATGTTATAGACATTGTAAATGGTACAACAATTTGGAAAACAATATGATAATATAAAGCAGGTAGCTGTAAAAATATTTATTCAATCTGTTTCTGTTATTTCACTTCCTGGAAATTTAAGGAAATAGTAAAGTGCTATATTTGCAATAACATTCATTATAGCATTAGATGTAGTCACAAAATATTGACAAAGCTCAAGTGGTAAGTGGGTTGGTAATTCTAGAATTTTTTTCCATATGCCCTTTAATTTCATTATACTGAAGTCACAACTAAACAATAGTGAAAGTGTAGTTTTTTAAAAACTGGTGTTTGCGGGGCCAGCAGGTGGCATAGTGGTTAAGACGCTAGACTCCCATGTGGCTGACTATGATTTGAGTTCCAGTCCTGGCAACTTGAAACTCATGCCAGTTGTGTGTGCATGTATGCCCAAAATCCCAAGAGGAGAATGGAGGAGAAGGGACTGTGGCGTGGCAACCCCCCTGGTGATTTCTCACTTTCTGTCCCTCTGTCTCTCTGGTGAGTGCATGTGCCCTATAGGAAAAACCTCACCAAAAGAAAAACAAAATAAATGTAAAACAATCAAACAAAACAACAAACAAATTGGTGTTTGGGGACCAGCAGGTGGTGTGGTGGTTAAGGTGTTGGACTCCCTCATGGCTGACTCTTATTTGAGTTCCCAACCTGGAGTCCTGAAAATCACGCTGGGCGTATGTGCATACATGACCAAAATCTCAGGAGGAGAATGGAGAAAGAATTGCAGCATGGTCATCCTACTGGGGAGTGTGGTGGGGGGGGTCAATGTTTCACTTTCCCTCTCTCCGTCTCTTTCCCATGAGCACACATGCCCTATGGCAAAAGTCTAAAATAAAACATAATAAAAACAAAAGCTGGTGTTTGGACATATTCTCAAACCTTACCTTGTCTAGGTATGACACGATTCCTTCTACTTTTGGAATTCTATAAATTTATGGCTTTTTAAAATGGCAGTTTAGGCCTTTATTAGAATTGTGTGTGTGTGTGTGTGTGTGTTTTATTAAATTATTTAAATATCCTTAATTATAAAAGTATAGCTTCTTATTTTTAATAGTTGGGAAAGGGTTTAAAGAAATATAGAACTGTCACTATTTGAAAATCCCAGATTGTTAGTAACTTCTCATTATAAACCTCATTATTATGACAGTTTTGTTCGATTCTTAAAATATTTTCAATATAGATCAGAAACAAAAAGTAAAATTCATCAATCAAGAAATAATTCTTGAATGCCTCTTAGGATCACAGTAACATTCCCCAAACAGCAGAATCAAAGAATAAGAGTGTCTGTCTTCAGGGAGTTTAGGGTCCATTTGAAATCGTCACAAATGCTTTCCACTAGTGCAGTCTGAATCTTCATATGAAGAGTGACCATTAAAATATAACTTTTTTCAGGACCAACAGTTAGCATAATGGCTGTGTCGCTGAACTCCCATGTAGCTGACCGCGGTTCAAGTCCCAGAACCGGTGGCTTAAACTCACGCCAGGCGCGTGTGCATACATGCCCAAGATCCCAAGAGGAGAATGGAGGAGAAGGGATTGCAGTG